CGTCGACAGTTGAACGGTCATATTTATAAAAGAAATCGTTTAGGGGATGCACCCTGGTTATGCTGCATGTCGGCAGGCACAGCAACTATATGTTGCTAGCCCGAGCAGGGTGCTACTCGCTAACGCCCTGCTTGGACTGGTGGTTCCATCTCCGACCGGTAGGCAGGGTTCCCAAAGGAACCCTGCCCACTGCGGCGGAGAAAAAAGTGGGGCCACCAGTCTAAATGAGCTCCGAACTTTGTATGCAGTTCTCTGACTAAATGTATTGTTTCTCACGTATGAAAAAATAGATAAATTTTTTGTAAAAAGCTCAGGTGACGACTTTCAACTACTGTATAAAAAAGGAGATCAAAAACTAGATTATCAAAGTACCCCAAAACACATCATCGTTCTTACTTATCTCGTGACTAGTACCTGTTTTACTGCGGCTATATTTCTGTATTTGTTTATTTCAAATTTATTTACGATGGTAAAAAATTCGGTTTTACTGTAGCTTTTCTGCTTTATCAAATACAAGTTGCTGCTAAAAAAATAACGTGAAAAATTAGATCAGTTGTTTTCATTTTCCGCTTTCTCTTTTTTTTTTGCTTATCAGTTTTAAGGTAATGCAAAAGCAGAACTTTGCATTTTAAATTTGAAATTTGTTTGTCAAGGGAATTATTTTCGAATTTTGTAGGCATGACAAACATTGGTAAGTTTAGCTAGAAAGCGTTTATCAGCAGGAACTGAAGAAAATCCTGAAGAAACTTCTAAAGTGAGCATTATGAAATGAGTATGTAACAGCACTCTCAATACTTTTTTACAAAGCCTTTTAACAAAGAAAATTTGAGCATAAAAAAACTTATAGTGACTGTCTTTCTTACTGTTTTATTTGTTGAAAGACCAGAAATATTTAGTTAGATCATAACTTTATGTAGTAGTAATAAGCAGCAGTGTTTCAAGTAACCAGACTACCTAATATTTCTTTTTTTCTAGTAAAAGAAAATAGTTGTTGTCTGAACAATTCATTTAAATGACAAAATAGGTTTCTTTTTTAATCGGTGTAAATGAATTTTTGATAAATTTATTTTGCATCACCTTGTTCACATAAAACACACCTATGTCGATATTCAAAATTACGACGAGAACTTATTACTGCTCACGCAGAGTTCATTAACTGATCACCTGTCTTTCGCACTGAAAATGTTTTATTTATTTTTAATAGTAAATGATTGCGGCTCAACTAGTGTAATCTCGTAGTTTTTAGAGTTTTTTGAACTACTTATTTAGACGATGAAGGTGCTGTTGAGCTTCTTTTCTATTGCTGTTTTAGCAGTCTTTGCTTCTGAAAATTTGATGGTAATCCACCTTTCAGAACTTCCACCGGAAGTCACAGGTCAGTCGGTGTAAAACGTTCGTGTTTTTTATTTTTCAGTCATTTACAACAAATCAAAAAGTTGAAGTACAGATTCAGTCTTTAGAAACTTTCAAAATTTTTCACAATGATAAATCTTTGCTTGCTTATCAGTAATTGTCATTCTTCTAAAAGTTAAAAACTACTTTTTCTTCCTTAACTGTTTATTAACAATTTTTTGTTCAGAGAAACTACCAAAACTTCTCACCGATCTTATGCAAAGTTTAACACCAGAGGAGAAGAAACAGCTCCAAGAAATGTCCACAGAGCTTTGGACCGCTACAGATGAAGATGCTGCTCTGGGAAAAATCAAAAAAAAGAACCCAGCTCTTCACAGCAAGGTTGAAGCTGCTTTCAAGGAGCTGCATGAAAAAATTGAAAGCTTGCATCCTGACGCCAAAGCTTTTTTGAAAGAGGTTGGTTAGCGCACCCAAGTAGCTGTTAAAGATAAACTTCCAGGTTGCAAAGCTAAGCTTTCAAAATGATTTCTCCCAACCAACAACGAGAGAGTTAGTAAAACTGAATAAGAAAAATCTTATCATTACCGTACAGTACGACTATTTGAAATATTGCGATTTTCGTGTGTCACACAAAAGCTTGCTTTTATAAAGGTCGCCAAAAATTTTCTTCTTTGAAAGAAACGACCTCGTCGTCATGCCTAGCTGAGAAAGAAAAATGTAAGCTTTTTTAGAATTTGGTCATAAGAGAACCAAAAAATGTTCTGCCGCTCTTTGCTTTTTGAATATTAAAAAATTAAATGACCACACTAATATGAATCTTATTTTTTTGTTATTCAAAGTACAATGACCTAATTTCTGTTTGAAAAGTGAATCTAAACGACGGCTCTTTTAAAAAGTACCCGGTATTTCTGTCTAATAATTTTTTTGAGTATACTAAAAGATAGACATTTTCCAGTCAGAAGCAACTAAGCTGATACAGTACAGCTCTACAATTTGCCGTAATTTTTCAAAATACTTTTACTTCTTACAGCAGAAATAGTTTTTTCAGTCATATGCTAGTTTGAGACAACTTCGCCTGCAAATGCCAGATGGGCCTAATACAAACAAGATAGCTGAAGAATTTAAAACTCTAGTAAAAAACCATAAAGCACTGTCAAACGAAGCGAAAAAGAGCTTAACTGATACGTTCCCACGAACAGAAGAGCTTTTAAAAAGTAAGGTTTCTTTCATAGAAAATAATTTTTGACAAGCATATTCACCAACCAAAATTTTTAACTAGACTCCGATAAAATAGAATTTCTGGACGATATTACACATTCATTTTTATCTAAATGACATTTGATAGTGCGTTAAATCACTTGACACACGAGAATTAACCGACCAAAAGAAGTTTTCTTCTATTCTTAAGATGTAGCGTCATTTTCTCGACCTGAAGAAGTTACCTTAATTTACGACCAGTGTAAAATACTTTAATAAAGTTGATTTTGCTGTCGACAAGCAGAAAAATCAGGAAGTTATTTGAATTGAACCTGTTATTTTATATAACTTTAAAATACTATATCCTTTGATGTAATGCATAAATGACGCTGTTTATCAGTTGATACTCTATAATAGACTGAAAACTTTGCATTACAGTGTGCTTGACTTCTCACTTTGGCAGATCATCAAATTATAACATCTCATAGCAACTTTATACTTCCAAACTATAAATTGCTTTAAACATTTAAAAATTTTAATTTTCCAAAGCGTCAAAAAATTTGGAAAGTATTTGATAAATAGCATAAATAAAGTGCTTAAAAAGAGCATTAAAACCCTTTTCTACCACATATCGATTTGTCACTGATGATCGATGCATCTTACTATGCAGTTTAATTCTCTTAAACACTGCTACATTTCACTGAAACAAATCAGAACTATTTTTATTGAAATACATTTTTTATGCCATTTCTGCTGCAAATTAATTGTAACAGTTGATGATCATAGAGCATTCAGATATAATATGCACTTGATACACCATTTCTGAAAAACACCATTTATGGCTTACAAACAGTCTAGTTTTTTGGTCAGTTTAACTAACCTTATGCTGTTCACACAGTTATCAAATTCTAAATGACTAAAAAAAAAGTTGTAAATAATAAACGCAAAAGTAAAGTTACAGAAAACTGTTCATAAATTTAAATACGCCATTATCAGTTTTGGGTTCAGGTAGGCAACAGAAAAATGTGCAGTCGATGAAGTTAATAACAGAGGTCAGTTGCCAAATTTTTGGTTTAGTTACAGCTTAGCCCTAAATTCTTACAATGCGCATGAAAAACGTATAAATTTTTTTGTAACTGCGAAAGACGTGTAAACGAGTCTCGAGAAGCTTACTTAGGGAATGAATAACTACAGAAAAGTGTGTACTAGTTGGCAAACTTGATAAAAAATCGTTTATAAACGCTGGCTCAAATTGCTTTACTTTAAATATTGTTACTATCATAACCGTTATTATTTGACACTATTGTTATTATTATTTACTTAATTTTAATTAATTTTATTAAATTTATTTTTTTATTGCAGTTAATCGAACCTGAGTTATTAATTTATATTTAATGTTTTCAGTGCAGTGTTGATTTAACGACTACATTTCAAAAGCTAAAAAAATGACAATCCAGTCTTTAAAATGAAACAGTTTTTCACAGCTCACTGCTATCGTGTCGCAAAATTTCTAAGCATTGTTAGTTATAGGTAAGCTTTGAAAATAAACAAAGGAAGGCCATTAGTTAGTTGATTGTAACCATAAGTGTGAGGAATCTAAGTTTTTGACTATTAGTGATGAACAATAGTTGTCGTAAATGTTGGAAGCCATTGTTTTGAAGCAGACGAGCCAGTAGAAAAAACTATATAATGCTTAAAAACCTCTTCTTTTTTTTCTTAAGTTTTTCAACTGTACATAGATACTTAATCGGTGGTTAAATGGAGGTAAGTTACTAAATTAAGAAATTAACTTCAAGTGTTGTAATACTTGTTGCAAATTAATTATGAACTTTTGCAACAACAGAAGAATCTTCTACATTTTTTGTGGCAAGACTGGCACTATATATGTTTACGTTTCCAAGTAAATGTTTATATACACCATTCATTAAAAGTCTGATACAATATTTTCGTTAGGCAACACCAATGTCAATGTTTTTGTTAATTTGCAACAAAAACTCAAATATTTACCGTTATGACCTCTTAGCAGAAGTCTTTTGTGCAATACCGACTGTTTCGCTGGGTGCGTCGAAATGATATTTCATCTTTTAACAGACTTTTTTTTTGATCTTGAGCACTGTTGTAACTTTCGGCAATAAACACTTTAAAACTGATTTGATCATGAGAATACTCAGTTAAATAAGGAAAAAAAATTCAAAAATTCTGAGAAGGTCAAACAGTTTCAAAATGTTTTTTTGAGTAAATTTTTTTTGTAAGTCATTCAAATTTAGAACTGAGAAAACAAATTCTGAAAATTTATTGCTAAAATACGTTTTTTTTGCAAATCGTGAAACATAGAAAAAATTGTAAAAAAATTTTTTTTTGGCCGATAGTTCAAAATATTGAAACTTTTATCGTTTAAGAATTGGTCTTTTTTTCAACATGTCATTTGCAGAAGTTAAAAAAAAAAACATTTCAATTTTGTCTTACAATTCTAACAGCTAACAAAATTCAGTAATGTAAACTAAAGGGGAACTTTGGTTGGGATAAAACCAAAAGTTTTCTGGACATTAAGCTTCTAACAGCAAACTCATAATTTTAACAGTTTATTCATTTTGATGGAAAGTAGTTCTAATTACTTTGTAAGAATCTATAGAAATGTAAACTGCAATCTGTATAAATTTTGAACAACAAATTGTTTGTCAGTATAAAAATCCTAGTGAAGAAGAATACGAAAATATGGTAACGTATACTTATTTATAATTAGAAAAATTTAAGCAAAAAATTTTTTAGTTTGACATATTTGTAACTGCTGTGCAGCTTCTGTTCACCATTCCTGTATTTGGTGGCTATAACAATGTATTTGCCAACTCAGAAATGTGGAACATTTGAAACGTTGCTCAGGTGCTGTTTAGATGTTTTTACACGTTTTGGTAGCGAATATGACATTATTTCCCAGATTCTTCATTGCCAATCTTTCTGTTGCCACAAGTTGAAGAAGCAGCAGACGAGTTTCTTTGGTTACTCTATTAAATAGTTAGCATGCATCAAATTCAGATTTGAAACGTCTGTAAAGGTTTTGTTGTTTTCAGCTTATTTTCGGTGTTGTTTCTAGCTTCTATTTATTTCGTTTGCAGATTGATACTTGCGGCCTGTTTTAGCTCTATTTGCCTTGTTAGCACCTCGTTAGTTTGTAAATTTGTTCGTTGTTATTCGTTGTTGCTGGATTTCCCTAACTTCTTAAGACTGAGTGCTTAATTAGAACCAAGCCATTGATTTTAACTTAGCATAGGCAAAAAATATTTTTTATTTTTTTAGTTTCTTCTCATTCTCTAATTTCAATAAAAAGTTAAACTTTTTTTTACCAGATCTCCAGTAATCTCGACGCTACCATAATACAGTCTTTTTTTAGTAACTGTAGCAAGACAATCTCCAAAATTTTTTAATTTTTTACTTGTTCTTTTTTTTAATAGAATTAGCTAAAAATCGGCTGTTTAAGTTGTATAAGCTATTGCTCTCTCTGCCCTTTCAAATTAAATTGCTATCTGTTTCGTTGCTCAAATTAGTCGTTTTTTCTTTGTTTTTATCTATTTCTCTTTGAAATATCAAATTTTAAAAAATTTTGCTCTATTTCAGTACTTCCCACATTGTTTGGTAAACGACGATACCGTCTAAATGTATTCTTTTAAACTGTTATTATATTCTGTTGGTATAGAATGACGCAAATTGTGTTCACAGAACCTTTACAGAAGAAAGTACAGAAAACTTTCATTTGAAATTTAGAAGCAAAAAACTCCATCTTTTTTCTTCTATTAAGTTCTTCTTTTCAAGAAAATAATTTAGTGTAAATGTAATATGAATTAAATTAATTAAGATAAGAGAAAAGCTAAGCTAATTGTATTTTATTTCTTCCATATTACTGTAAAAATATTTTTTAACAAGTTTACCTCATACTTCTTCTCTTCATTTCAATTAGCTTCTATAACTCTTGAACTGGTAACCGTTGCAGTACAACCTTAGCTCTGAAACATTCATCAAACTAGCGTTTTTGATCTTTGTTCATTATTTATCAAGTAGCCAAAAACTTGTGAAAAATCTGTACACTTACCGTTACAGTTCGCAAGTACATTTCTCATTACTTCCGCCTAAGCAGTGTAGAACTTAGATACAAAAGCAGCTAGCAAAATTTTGTACTATCTTGAGGTGTATCAAATTTTTATTGTTTGCCATTCAAGAAAAGGTTTGGAGTTTTCTGCAGTTGAATTTTAAGCCAACTTGAGTTTTGCTACTTTAGGAATTCAGGTGGGTTAGTAGGTTAGACCACATTGCCAGAAGTAAAATACTAACGAAACCGATAATCGCTGGTAAATAGAAGTTTAAAAAAGACTGCACTTTTTTGGCATAGTATGCAAAAAACCGTTTGATAGATCGGTTGCTCATTTTAATAACTCATCTATCAATGTTCATCACCTTTTCAGCACTAAGTTTTCCGCGAGAAAATCTTGTTAGAACTGCAGCTCTAAACGTTTCTAAAATTCCATGGTAATCTACGCTAAACTTAAAGTTTAGATTTACAGCTCCATCTCCATCCTCGTAGCCTGCACTAACTGCTTCATTGTTGCTCTGCTCGCCTAGTTCGCAGTCAAACGCTTGACTGCATAGTATTTTAAATGTTAATAAGACGACTTTCCGCGCCAATTGATTTAGGTAACAACGTCGTGAATTCCTCAAGTTGGTTCTTAATTTGTTTTTTAGTTTTTGAAAAGGGAGTGTTTGCAAGAGAAAAATTTATGCAGGTATATACTTTGTTCTTATACTTTAAAATTTTGCTATCATTGTGCAGAGGTGTAAGCAGTATTTTATAAGTGGTAAGGTGTGAACAAACAAGTGAACTTTGGCACAATGCACTTGCTGAAGAATCGCATCTTATTTGGTTAAATCGTAGCTTGGATTGTCAAGTTGACGGCAGCAGACTCAGCAAGAGGGTTGAGAGTGTGACAGTTAAAAGTATCTGTCACTTGCCTGAAGGCAAAGAGGAAGTTTTTAAGTTTAGTTCTACACGTACACATTTAAGTTATATCTCTATTTTATATTAGTAGGTTTTTGTCGTCTTTGGACAAACAACGTTGACAATCTTAGCTTTTGAATAGGGCTTAAATTAGCGTCATTTGTTCCTATCCAGTGTCGCGACTAACCGACTCTTTTCCTAATCAAAGGATGACTAAGAGTCTCCCTTCTACAGTGCCCGTTGAAAGCTCGAAATAATTTGTTTTTATACTGTAGCTCGAATTAGTCGCTTG